CTCTCTCTCTCTCTCTCTCTCTCTCTCTCTCTCTCTCTCTTTCTCTCTCTCTCTCTCTCTCTCTCTCTCTCTCGCACGTCATGCACACAACCGACGTACTGATCTATTCCTGAAAGGAGCTGCTCTTCTCCTGTCACAATATTCTGTCTGGAACTTCTCAAACTTACTGAAGATCTCACAGAGAGGATAAAGTAAGAGTATAATCAGCTCGATTACTTGCTGCCGCTGCCTCCTAACGCTTAATGCCAAGTTTAGTTTCCACACGTCTGCATATAGTGCTGCAATATCATAACTGATCTCAGAACAGTAGGCGTTACAGACCTGCCTGCCTCACATCCTGACATTTGTGACTTTTTCTTTCTCTCTCTTCTGTGAACTTTCACTGAGTCGTTTAGAAGCTCATCAAGTTAATCCATTTGTCATTGTTGTTTTATCTCTAGAGTTTTTGATCATTCCCCCCATTAATAACCCTCTGGTTTACGGCCTGAATCTGCCCCAGATCAGAGGAGGGGTTTTTAGGTTTTTTAAGATGCGCAAAATAGTTCCTGCATAAAAACTCAACATACACAACTAAGTCTCTAATGTTTAGTAGTGAAGCTCTTCTGGAGTATGTTAAAATTATCTGCACACATGATTAGTTTGCCATCACATTCTCTTTAAACACAATAGATCCAGGTGAAAAGAAAAATTACATTCCAAGAGATCAGCCTGCTCAAAAACAATATTAATATTCTCCAGGTTGTACATGTTTAATCCAACTCTCCCCCATCATAAAACGAGTGTGACTGATGAAGACTCAAAACCAAGTAAAGATTTTATTCCTCTGCATGTCTCTTCTGTTTCCTTCACTGGCCAGCAGCACATACTGTCTGTAATCACACTGACAAATAAAACTTGGCTTGTTAAAAGCAATAGAATTTGGGATTTTAATGGGTATAAAGATCAGTGTTTGTTGTCTGATTTAGTGTTGTGCTGCTTTAAGCCACTTGACCTCTGGGTCCATAATTAAACTGATGCAGGGAATACTGTGTAATTTGGGTGTATCCATTTTAATGGGTATAAAGATCAGCGTTGTGATTCAGGAAGTACTGAGAGATTTGGGTGTCAATGATAATAGGTACCCATATATACTGAATCATACTAGGCATCTTGTCATCATTATTAAGCAGCTGTTTGTCTAGTGAAGATTTCTGTGCAAAATCATGTGCTTTAAGATTGCAATACAACTTAAGATCACAACAGACCTCTGTGAAGTGTCCATGAAGAGGTGAACGTTTGTCATCATTGGAATAATCAAGACCCCAAACATTTCCATATAAGGTGACCTGTTCCACTCCAACTGTGGGAAAATGTGATTCACAAAAACGTTCATCAAGTCAAAAAGAAAAGAATTCACCTTTTTCCAGATATCAGCAAAAACAAAACAAATAAAGAAGTGTGAGTTTTCATATTACAGTACCTGAAACAATTGGAAACTAGAAGGGTACTCAGAGAGCCCAGACCTCCACCAAGGCCAATGTCAAACAACATAAACAAACAGATAGTTTGCTTATTATTTTTTCCCTGGTATGGGCCGGGGAAAATTACCTGCCCATTTTGATTTTGACCAAAAATCAAAACTTCTTTCACAGGACTATATAACTGACAGCTACACAAACATTTAGTGACTTTTGTTTAATGGAGAATTCAATTGTATGTTCATAATAAAACATCACCTGTTAACTGTTAAATGATCTCATGAAGGGCTCTCTCTCTCTCTCTCTCTCTCTCTCTCTCTCTCTCTCTCTCTCTCTCTTTCTCTCTCTCTCTCTCTCGCACGTCATGCACACAACCGACGTACTGATCTATTCCTGAAAGGAGCTGCTCTTCTCCTGTCACAATATTCTGTCTGGAACTTCTCAAACTTACTGAAGATCTCACAGAGAGGATAAATCAAGAGTATAATCAGCTCGATTACTTGCTGCCGCTGCCTCCTAACGCTTAATGCCAAGTTTAGTTTCCACACGTCTGCATATAGTGCTGCAATATCATAACTGATCTCAGAACAGTAGAAGCTGAGTCAAGGACACCTTGACGCGCTTCAGTCCTTGTCAACGGGACACGGTCACGCCCATGAAATTGACAGAAACTATAGATACAATATTTAACTTTAATTAAGTTTACTATGCAAAATGATTTATGTGACATTTGACACTTGAAGACTGTTCTTACGTCCATCCACTGAAAGTGATAAGTCTCTCTGAAATTAAATATATTCACATAGGCTATTTATAGATTCTGGTAAATTGATACATGATAACAGACTGCATCTTAAAATATGTCTTTTATGATATTAAAAGGTGAATAATTTATTACTTTCATGTCATTTGTGTCATTTTCTTGTTTTTTCTTATCAGAAAGTCAAGTTATTTATTTAGGGATCAAATTACCCTGAAAGATTTTGTGTCATTGAAGGCCAAATAGCCTTGCCCCTGAAATGATATAATTCCTGGCCTGATCCAAGGCACAACAGCAACTCTGATGGTGTGGACACACATGCTGGCATGCCATGAACGCAGTTCAGCCGTCATGCATGGGTGAGGGGTCTTTGTCTGTGTCTGTGCCGCTGTGTGTACAACACACAGTTTGTGAGTAGCAGGACTCACTTACCTCCCTTTGGACCCTGACTGTACACATGGCTTCTCTCAGAGTGACACCAGAACAGGATAAAAGTTGAACACATCCTCAGTGTGAATTAGACTGGGAGAAGATGCTGCATGACTGTAAAATCTTACTGTATTCAAACTAATGCAGATTTTGTAATGTTTTTATGCATTTGATTTTTGCACTGCAGCAGTTGTATATTTGATTGGCTGATACATGCCAACATATCTTGTTCAGTTGCCAGAAATCTCTAAGTTAAACTGAATATTGTCAGGTGACAGACGTGTGCAGGTTTATGTGAATGACATGCATACTGTTTTATTGTATGTTTTCAGTCTTACTAAAGTATGTGTCAAAAAAAGAAATCTTGTTTAGAGCATTTTAATCCCATTGGTTATACTTTAATCTGTCTTTTTCTCTCCCTTCATCACTCTTACTTCACTTCTTCCAGCTTTCCTGTTTCTCAGACATGAGGAGCAACAACAGCCTGAATCCTCTCTACTTTCAGTTGACTCTGTTTTCAGATTACGGGCCCCTCAAATATCTGTTCTTCAGTCTTTGTCTGTTGGCCTACATGACTATAATCTCTGCTAATGCTGTCATTATTCTGACAGTCTTCCTGGAGAAGTCTCTGCATCAGCCCATGTATATATTCATCTGCTGTCTGTCTTTAAACTCTCTGTACGGCTCAGCCGGCTTCTTCCCCAGGTTTCTGATGGACATACTGTCCGACACTCATTTGATCTCACGTCCATTCTGTTTCATCCAGATGTATGTTATTTACACATATGCATCATATGAATTGACTATTCTCGGCATCATGGCCTACGATAGATTTGTTGCTATTTGCCAGCCTTTGCACTATCACAGTAAAATGACGTTCAGGATGGTGAGACATCTTTTGAGTTTTGCTGTGCTCTCCCCTGCATTTGCATGTGGCCTCTGTCTCTATCTCACTGTCCGACTGCCTTTGTGTGGGAATAAACTGCACAGGATTTTGTGCTCTAACTGGTCTGTGGTTCGACTGTCCTGTGTGGACATGACCGCAAACAACATACTAGGTCGCATAGTTACTGTAACAACCATCTTCCTCCCCCTGCTCTTTGTCCTGTACAGCTACCTGCGCATTCTGCTCGTCTGCAGCAGAAGCTCGTCTGAATTCAGAGGAAAGGCGTTACAGACCTGCCTGCCTCACATCCTGACATTTATGACTTTTTCTTTCTCTCTCTTCTGTGAACTTTCACTGAGTCGTTTAGAAGCTCATCAAGTTAATCCATTTGTCATTGTTGTTTTATCTCTAGAGTTTTTGATCATTCCCCCCATTAATAACCCTCTGGTTTACGGCCTGAATCTGCCCCAGATCAGAGGAGTGGTTTTTAGGTTTTTTAAGATGCGCAAAATAGTTCCTGCATAAAAACTCAACATACACAACTAAGTCTCTAATGTTTAGTAGTGAAGCTCTTCTGGAGTATGTTAAAATTATCTGCACACATGATTAGTTTGCCATCACATTCTCTTTAAACACAATAGATCCAGGTGAAAAGAAAAATTACATTCCAAGAGATCAGCCTGCTCAAAAACAATATTAATATTCTCCAGGTTGTACATGTTTAATCCAACTCTCCCCCATCATAAAACGAGTGTGACTGATGAAGACTCAAAACCAAGTAAAGATTTTATTCCTCTACATGTCTCTTCTGTTTCCTTCACTGGCCAGCAGCACATACTGTCTGTAATCACACTGACAAATAAAACTTGGCTTGTTAAAAGCAATAGAATTTGGGATTTTAATGGGTATAAAGATCAGTGTTTGTTGTCTGATTTAGTGTTGTGCTGCTTTAAGCCACTTGACCTCTGGGTCCATAATTAAACTGATGCAGGGAATACTGTGTAATTTGGGTGTATCCATACACACTGAAACACAATAGGCATATTGTCTGTTCAGTAAAGATTTCTGTCCAAAATCTTGTTCTTCAAGATTTCAATACAACCGAAAATCACAACGGACCTCTGTGAAGTGTCCATGAAAAGGTGAACGTTTTTCATCATTGGAATAAACTAGACCCCAAAGAGTTCCATATAAATTGACCTGTTCCACTCCAATTGTGGTAAAATTTTATTCATTCATGTGAAAAAGAAATAATTCACCTGTTGCCAGAAATCAACACAAACATTGCAAATATAGTACAAATTAATTTATAGTAAATATTCTTGACCAACCCCAAAATATAGTGCAAAACCATGTTTTGTGAGGTCACATGACCTTGACCTTTGAACTTTGACCACCAGAATCTAATCAGTTCATCATTAAGTCCAAGTGAATGTTTGTGCCAAATTTCAAGAAGTTCCATCAAGGCGTTACTTTGATATCGCGTCTACAAGGTCAAAACTATGTTTTGTAAGTTCACCACGCCCGTGAACTGTGACCTTTGACCCTCAAAGTATAATAATTTCATCTTCCAGTCTGAATGAATGTTTGTGCCAATTTTCAAGAAGTTCCATCAAGGAGTTTCTGAGATATCGTGTCCACAGGAATGGGACAGACATATACATGCAGACAGATGGACAACCCAAAAACAATGTTTTGGCTGTCGCCGACCACATACCACGCGGCTGAGTTGCATGATCTAGAGATTTGTTGTCTCAACAAATTTTTATGCATGATGCGCACAGTTCCCAGCAAAAATATATAGGGAAAAGACGTAGTCATAGTAACATCATACCAAAAACATTACAGAAAATTGACCACTTTCACTACAGTTTCAATGTCTACGCTGAATCTGAATATGACACAGACATGAACACATACAGTATAAATATTATATTTTTTAACAACATTAGCTGCCTGTTGAGAGAGTGGCATTTTAGTGACATTTTTTGTCAAAAATAAATCAGAAATTAAATTATAATAAAAAGAATAACAACATTCGAGTAGCGTGCTGATGACCATTATCCAAAGCAAACTCTATGGAGCAGGCAGTAGCTAGCAGCGACGCAGCAGATACACAGTCAGTGTGAAAACACAGGCATGCAAGCTGCAGCAATTCAGCAACGCAGCCGCCAAGCACACGCAATGCAGGCAATGTGTTCCCAGTGTAAGTGGGAACATGATGATAGTTCATGTAGGTCAAGTTCATTGTTGGCAATATAAATTGTAAGATTAGCATGCTAATAGTTAGCGCGCTAGCTGTTAGCGCGTTAGCTAAATGTAAATGATTCACCATATGTAAACAACTGAATTGCTATGATGATTTGCCAATGATGCCAGATGCACCCTTGGTTAATCTTGGTTATTTTAAGAGTTAGTGTTTTATGTAATATGAGTGTAATTTGAGTTATATGAGCCGTAACATTCATTGTAATCTATATTGTGTATTAACTTAGGACTCCCAGCTAAACATTTACTCTCTGCTGTTGTGAATTAGGTAGCGTGATAGCAGTGGCTGTGCTAATACAGCGACAATGTTATGATTATTCCTTTTTATTTACGTTTATATGCACATTGGATAAATAAAGAAGGCATAAAAGGAAAAGAAGACTGCTTTGTTGGTGTTCTAACAGATGCCACCTCAACAGCACAATTACCACCCAGAACCCAACACAGACGTATTGTGGTTTTCACCAGAGATACTATAGTAGAGGATGTTGCAAAAAAAATCTGTAAAAATCTGTAACACCTCACCATAAATTAGCAAAACATTGAGATGATGATATGGTGAAGTTAATATTAATTTTGCATTAATCTTGTTTTAGCTGTATTGTTTATTCCAGTTGATTGCAATGTAATCTTTAAATTGAAATTCATTCAGAAAGATATTATGTCAAACAAGTGAAGAAAGGTCAACTATCTGTAGCCCATATGACTTGTAAGACTTGTTCATAGGAAAATGGGAGAAAATTGATGAATACCACAGACTCTGTATCAGTTTAGATAATACTGTTTGGACTTGTGTGTGCCCTCCCAAACGGCCCATCCAGGTACCTCGTTTCACCACCTTTTATTTATTTTTGTCTGTAATGTATATATGGTGGCCTGCCAAGAGCTTCAACCATTGTGTTTACAGTACAAGAGGCCATAATACACCCTCTGAGCAGAACTTCTTCAGGACAGACTGGATGCTACAGGGAGTCACTATCAGAGAGTGACGAGATGGGCTAACTGGGCCAGGGCTAGCTTGTTAGCATGCTAACTTCAGTAGAAGAAAATACATTATAGAAATAGAAGCAAAACAAGAGTTAACATTGGTGTTGCTTTCCACATCCGGAGACAGCTCTGTGAGTAAAAGATGGTAAGTAAACAGCTTGTAACGCTAACACTGGCTATGTACTGATAGGAAAACTTATAAAAAGTTCCTTTAATGATAAGAGTTAAAATGATTGCAGATTTGTTGGGTTAGGGTCCGGGTTAGTTTGCATATGACATTAATGTTTTATCTGGAAATTATTAAATTATGCTTAGAGATAACACTGAAATTGGAAATGGCTAAACGCCAGAGGTCGTTTGTTGTAAACAACTCGTTGTGGATCCTGTGTTGCCCACATTGTGTATGGAAGGAAACCCGACAGTACCTGCTATCCCAAATGCCACAAATACAACCAGGGTAATAACACTTTTAAAACCTTTGGGCCTGTTTGTGAACGTGGCTGCTCTCAGTGAAGCAGCTTAACAGTAATAAACTGCACAGAATTTTCTGCTCTAACTGGTCTGTGGTGCAGCTCTCCTGTGTGGACATAACCACAAACAACATAGGTCGCATAGTTACTGTAACAACCATCTTCCTCCCCCTGCTCTTCGTCCTGTACAGCTACCTGCACATTCTGTTCGTCTGCAGCAGAAGCTCGTCTGAATTCAGAGGAAAGGCGTTACAGACCTACCTGCCTCACATCCTGACATTTGTGAACTACTGTATATCAGTTTTTTGCGAGCTTTCATTGAGTCGTTTTAAAGCTAATGAAGTTAATCCATTTGTCATTGTTGATTTATCTCTGAAGTTTTTGATCATTCCCCCCATTAATAACCCTCTGGTTTACGGCCTGAACCTGCCCCAGATCAGAGGAGTGGTTTTTAGTTTTCTTTAAGATGTGCAAAATAGTTCCTGCATAAAAACCAGTCATAAAACTAAGACTATTATTTAGAAGTAAAGCACTTCTGGAGTATGTAGACTTTATCTGCACACATGATTAGTTTGCCATCACATTCTCTTTAAACAAAATAGATCCAGGTGAAAAGAGAAATTACATTCTAAGAGATCAGCCTGTGATAAATATATATATTCTTCTGCATGTTTTCTTTCCTGGCCAGCAGCACATACTGTCTGTAATAACACTCTGGAATGAGAAATAAAACTTGGCTTATTTAAAGCAGTTGAATTTGGGATTTGAATAGGCATAAAGATCAGTGTTTTACTGTTGTAAACCACTTGTCATCTGGGACCAAAATAAAACTGATTCAGGGAATACCAAGTTCATTGCCAGTGAGAGTACCCATACATACTGAATCATAGTAGCCATCATCTTGTCATTATTTAAGCAGCTGTTTGTTCAGTAAAGATGCAGCGGCAGGTCAGGCGCACAGGTCCAGTGTCTCAGTCTGTCCTCACCAGCAGTAGAAACAGATGCTAGTTAACACGGGGCTCCAGCGACGCCCTCGTTTCCTCGGCGAAACGTACGGCCGGCGTTTACAGCTAACTGTCCCTCGCGACGGTGCTAGCTTAAACGTCCACGCTTTATAGTCGGAGTTACACTTTTTACAAAGTAGGTGAAAACAACAAACGCAATTAACCTGCCTGCACTTTAACTTCGACCTACCGACAGAAGAGTTACTGACTCTTGAGATACACACGACTTCTAACTGAAAGATAATACCGGTGGTGTTACCTGCGACACCGAAGCTCCGTGGACTGTGTAAAATAAACAAGCAAACAATCTATTTTCAGTGAATCTTTGTATCGAGGCGTGATTCGTTCTATCAAAATCACGTGACCAATGACGTGACCAACGAAACTTCGGTTGCGCACACACACACACAAACGCGGCGCATTTCCGCGGGTTCATGAAGCACTCAACCATTCCAGCGAAGCCTCGACGTCTCACGTGACATCTAGGTGTGAATAATCCAGCGGCTGCCTGGGAGAGTTTGAGCCCTATGGCAACGCCCGGGTTCGAGTGAATTCATGAGTTTTACTGGTTTACAAAAGGGAAATTCTCCAAATCCACAATGAAAAATCTTATCTTTATTGTTTTTATGTTATTTGGAGGATGCAGTGGAACAGTTTTTTTTAATTTATGTATCAATGTATTTATTCATTAATTCATTCATGTATTCATCCATTCATTTTTGCTTCAAGGAGATTCGTGTTGGTCGGTTGTGAAATGTTTTGCGACACTTGTGCTTTTCCTCACATTGAACAGGAGATGTCCCCATTGAACTCTGATGTGAAGAGCTTCGAGTAATGAACCATTCTGAGATACAACTGTGTTGAAAGCTTTGCTGATTCGGAAAGCTTCACTTGATTGTCACTAGATAATACTTTATTCTAAGTATTTCAGTCTACAAATATTAATCACATCGACAATAAACTTAGCTTTCACCGCTGCGCTAGCTACACGCACCTCTCTTCTTCATCATGTGCTCCTAGTTCTCTCCTTCCTATTTTTCCTTCAAGCTGATATCTGATCGGCCAAGAGTACAGCTCTGCCTGAAAACAGATTAGTTTAGATCACATCACTCAAAACAAACTGAAAGCATATTGGATGAATAAACCGAACATTGTGAGTCCGAACAACACAAAAGAGATATAGATTCACTGGCATATAAAATAAAACACTCTTTTATTTAGCTTTATTTTGGAGGAAGGAGGCAAAACTTCTTTTTGTTGCACCACAGTCTCCATTTTGTTAATCTGCTTCTGCATATTAATTTTAAGAGTGACGCCAAAGCAACATACAGAGATTAATGTAACTGCAGAAAATCATTCACGGGATTAACATGATTTCTGCGCGTGCTTGGAAAACCCAAACATTTCCTTCCCAAATCTTTTTACCAAGTTGTGAAAGGCTTCACAATGACACTTTTCAGCCCTGGCCTTTTGGCCTCCTGACACATAAAGCGTTTTCCCAGTAAACTAGTGGGGGCCCTGTTGTGGAGTTCAATGTCCTCCTTGAAACACGGAAAGTTTTCCCAACCTTTAAGCAACTCTATCTTCAACTTTTGGCCTCCAGAGTTTGAGGGCGCTGTTTATGTGTTAGCAGGTGTTGTTAAGGAGTAATGAGATCCATGGAGGATGAAACAATCTGATAAAAAACATTCCACAGACCTAAACAGTCCACTCTCTGAATACTGGAGATGAACACACTCTAAGTGGTCAGGTAACTGTAAATGAAAAAACTCTCAGGTACAGGTTACATGTTAATTCAGTTTGCAGAGTGATAGTTACTGCCTCTATTATTACTTGCATTTGCCTGTTATGTAATCTGCCTCTTCTATTCATGAGGTTAATTAATGGATGATGAATTTAATGTGACCTTTGTAACTCTTGGTGGGCATGTGGATGTTGACAAATACAGATATATTTATTTTATAATTATATTTATGGTATATATTCTAATAATCTGCAGTAATTCTACAATCGTATACCTGATCTGGATTCACCAAAACCTCCATGAGCCTATGTACATTTTCATTGCAGCTGTGTTACTGAACTCTGTTCTTTTGAGCACTGTTATCTACCCAAAGCTTCTGATTGACTTTTTATCTGAAAAACAGATCATATCTTATTCAGCTTGTCTCTTTCAGTATTTCATGTTTTATTCGTTAGGTGGTTCAGAGTTCTTACTCTTGGCAACCATGGCCTATGACAGGTATGTGTCTATATGTAAACCTCTGCAATATCCAACTATCATGAGAAAAACCACTGTGAGTATATTCTTGATTTTAGCTTGGCTCCTGCCTGCCTCTCAGGTTGCACTGCCAACTGGATTGATTGCTAATAAAAAACTCTGCAGCTTTACTTTGAAAGGAGTTTTTTGTAACAACACAGTTTATGAACTTCAATGTGTTGTCTCAAGTGAACAAATTATATATGATATGGTAATTTTACTAAATATTGCACTTCTCCCTGTGCTTTTCATAATTTTCACATACACCAGGATACTTATAATCTCCTACAGAAGCAGTAGAGAAGTCAGGAAAAAAGCTGCACAGACCTGTTTACCTCACCTGTTGGTTTTAATCAACTTCTCCTGTTTGTGTGCATATGATGTTATTACAGTTCGGTTGGAATCAGATTTTCCAAAAACTGTACATTTAATAATGACGTTACAAATTGTAATCTATCACCCTCTCTTTAATCCAATAATGTATGGACTAAAAATGAAAGAAATCTCTAAACAGCTCAAGAGGTTGTTCTTTCCAGCCAAAATCATCTGATGTATTAAAACTAAAGCAAATGTACAGACATCTCTTCTGTGATGTAATAATGGGATATTTTAAATGTATTTTGATTTATTCTTTCTATGACTAATGCACAGTAAAGAATATTGTGAACCTTTTTGATTTTTTTATATGTTGTTAGTGTTCAGGTTTCCTTTTCATTTTCATACATTAACAACTAAATCTAAATTATGATGGTATTTTCTGACATGAATTACAATTATTTTCACACAAAATGCTATTTTAATCCCGCTCAAGTATATATGCAAATATACCTAATATTCATATAAATACTGTATATGACTATGAATAGTTCTGGGCTCATTGATTAAGCTTACAATGGCAATGAATTGAAGAAATGTTTTTAAATGCTCTGGGTTCATCTTGTGTGTGAACAGCCTTAAACACAGGAGTGTGCACAGATCATTCTTTTTTCTGTTGTGTTTTATTTCCTTATTTAGAAATACATTGAATTCACTGAAAGGGGCTTCTTACTTACAATGACCTGTTAACATTATTGTCCTTATTGAAAAGGTTGTGATTGTAAGTTCATGCCATCTGAAACAAAATAAAAAATATAATAAACAAAGAATTTATGTGCAGCACACATACAGAGGAAGCAGACAGCTGGCCATGCAAACCAGAGGCTGGGTCTGACGATGCAGCCAGCAGTGCTAGATTTGTCATTTATAACTACATACATGTAATACATAACTTTGGTCATGTGGGTGAATACGTTAGAAAACTTAACAGATAAAGAATACATGAAATGGAACTATTTACAAAGCCTTAAGTAGGAACAAATCATTTAAAACATAAGGTGAACTACAGACAGGTGTGTACTTACAAAATAACTACAAAACAAAAACCTATTTTTAAAGTAAAGAAAAAGAAGAGAAATCATACTTACCGTGGAGAATTGTTCTCTGATAATCTAAGTAAAAGGAAACATACCATGCTATTCAAAAAGCTTTGTGACGAACACAGAATTTAGGACACAAGATGAGCTGTACACACAAAATCAACACATCGTGTTCCTGGACAACTGTGGAGTTGGTCTTTTGGCTGCGAGATCAGCTTAAGATGGCTTGTGTTAAATTCATCATTTTTAAGTACATTCATACATACGGGAAAAGTTAACTTCATACACAGAATAGGACTATGATGAACAAAGAATTTAAAACACAAGGAGAACTATATACAGAAAACAGTCTGGACTGAGCTGAGTGCATTCAGTTGAATTTGTCTGCACTGTCAAAATATGCAGCTTTCTGCTGATTGAAATGATTTACAGTTCAAAGCAACTACAGAACAAACAACATGACTATAAACAACACTGAGTCACATATCAGCACGAAAGGTGTATTCAGACCTATAGAGGTTTTCTTCCGTAAAAAAATTCAAAATGCTACATCAGTTTCCAATGGATCAAATATAATATTATAATATTCCCATTTTCTCTGCAAGATTTTCCAAGTCCAATTCTTGCACACCTGGCTTCACTCACCCACACAAAGCTGACTCTGCAAGGTTTACCATCAGTCAGGGTTCCCACAGGTCCTTGATCGGCACAGGTTGATTGTTCTTGAGCAAAGGAACTCCGATGGGGTGGAGTTACAGTCGGAAACCTGTGTTTTTGGTGAAAGTGTGTGGGCATATGTTGTGACGTACCCACACTCATCAAAGGGTAATCTGCATATTGTTGTGGCCACCTCTGCTACTCAACTTAGAACTCAAGATTTGTAATGACTGGATCAGGGGGACGACAAAAATATGGTCAGTATTACAAAATAAATGAAAACCGTCAAACTCCATTTTTGGGGATACTAAAATGCAAAGAACCCCACATTTTCTTACGATTAGAACAGAGAGAACAGAAGTCTGAGGGTGCAGTGGACAGAGGCTCACCAAAACTGGACAGTTGAATACTGGAAAAAGGTAGTCTGGTCCAATGGAACTGGATTTCTGCTGAGGAAGCAGATGGTAGGGTCTTTGCTTTCCAGTCTTCAGCTTCAGCAGCAGCTTCCTCAGTGCAAATTTATGAGATTCATGATGGCATTTCTTCAGCTCCTGTTATTATTGTCTTATTTCTGATTGATTGAAGTCTGATATTGAGGTCTCGTCTCGTCTCGTCATCTCCCGCTTATCCGGATCCGGGTCGCAGGGGCAGCAGCCTCAGCAAAGAGGTCCAGACAGCCCTCTCCCCAGCCACTTCCACCAGTTCCTCCGGGAGAATCCCGAGGCGTTCCAAGGCCAGCCGAGAGATATAATCCCTCCAGTGTGTCCTTGGTTGTCCCCGAGGCCTCCTCCCGGTGGGACATGCCCAAAACACCTCCCCGGGGAGGCGTCCAGGAGGCATCCTCACCAGATGCCCGAACCACCTCAACTGGCTCCTCTCGACATGGAGGAGCAGCGGCTCTATTCCGAGTCCCTCCCGGATGACCGAGCTCCTCACCCTATCTCTAAGGCTGAGCCTGGCCACCCTGCAGAGGAAACTCATTTCGGCCGCTTGTATTCGCGATCATTGCTTGTATTTCCGTCATTACCCAAAGCTCATGACCATAGGTGAGGATTGGAACGTAGATCAACCGGAAAATTGAGAGCTTCGCCTTCCGCCTTCGCTCCCTCTTCCCCACAACGGACCGATTCAGCGCCCGCATCACTGCTGACGCCGCCCCAATCCGCCTGTCGATCTCCTGCTCCATTCTACCCTCACTCGTGAACAAGATCCCGAGATACTTAAACTCCTCCACCTGAGGCAGAGCCTCCCCCCCGACCTGAAGCGGGCAATCCACCCGTTTCCGGCTGAGAACCATGGCCTCAGACTTGGAGGTGCTGATCTTCATCCCAGCCGCTTCACACTCGGCCGCGAACCGCCCAAGCGAGAGCTGAAGGTCGGCGCTTGATGAAGCTAGGGGGACCACATCATCCGCAAAAAGCAGAGACGAGATCCTCCCGCCACCGAACCCAAACCCGTCCACCACCCGGCTGCGCCTAGAAATTCTGTCCATAAAAGTTATGAACAGAACCGGTGACAAAGGGCAGCCCTGGCGGAGTCCAACCCTCACCGGGAACAGGTCCGACTTACTGCCGGCTACGCGAACCAGACTCACACTCCTTTGGTACAGGGACTTAATGGCCACTAACAAGGGGCCATCCACCCCATACTCCCAGAGTGCCCCCCACAGGGAGCCCCTGGGAACACGGTCGTAAGCCTTCTCCAAATCCACAAAACACATGTGGACTGGATTGGCAAACTCCCATGCTCCCTCCAGCACCCTAGCGAGGGTAAAGTTAGTTAGGCCTTAGCCCATGGGGCCCGGCCGGGCCACCAGGTGCTCGCCCACGGGGCCCAACCCCAGGCCTGGCTCCAGGGCGGGGCCGCGGTGTCCCTCCGGGCCGGGTTCTCGGGTTCTTGATATCGCTCATCATTAGGATCTTCTGAACCGTTCTTCGTCTGGCCCTTCACCTAGGACCAATCTGCCTTGGGAGACCCTACCAGGGGCAAAATGCCCCCGACAACATAGCTTCTAGGGTCATTAGGGCTCTCAAACTCCTCCACCACGGTAAGGTGACGGTTCAAGGAGGAGTGATATTGAGGTGTTTAATGTAAATAAGGGAACACAAATGAAGTCAGGTTTGTGTGGCTTTACCTCTCACTGGACCCTGTCGGCTGCTTGCATCCTAGCAGCAGCAGAAGATAAAGTTTCCAGAGCCTGCTTCAGTCTGGATCAGTGCAGGGTGAGGGCTTCATCTGTAGCTGAAGCTCTCATTTAATAAGGTGACGAGCTTTCTTTATTCATAAGTTAAACCTAGAAACCTGATATTTTGTTGGGTGATGAATGTATTTTTGCAACTATTTTAGACCACACAACAGGGAGAACTGCCTGGACTGTAGATGTTTTCAATAGATATCTACATAGACTGCTGCTGTATTGTTAACACACACAGAGGATAGTCATGCAGTAATAACACTAACCTGAACTCTTTACTATGGCACCCTGTCATGTACCTGGAAGCATTGTCAATGTTTTCTTTATTTTTTACAGTTTTTATTGTTTAAATGCTTCCTCTGCTGCCAAGAGAAGATAATTACCTCTGATTTTATTTGATCTCTGATTATATTAGAGCTTTGACAGTCAGTTCACTGATACATACTGTATATTGGCTATAATACACCCTCTGAGCAGAACTTCTTCAGGACAGACTGGATGCTACAGGGAGTCACTATCAGAGAGTGACGAGATGGGCCAACTGGGCCGGGGCTAGCTGGTTAGCATGCTAACTTCAGTAGAAGAAAATACATTATAGAAATAGAAGCAAAACAAGAGTTAACATTGGCGTTGCTTTCCAAATCCAGAGACAGCTCTGTGAGTAAAAGATGGTAAGTAAACACCTTGTAACGTTAACACTGGCTATGTACTGATAGGAAAACTTACAAAAAGTTCCTTTAATGATAAGAGTTAAAAATGATTGCAGATTTGTTGGGTTAGGGTCCGGGTTAGTTTGCATATGACATAATGTTTTATCTGGAAATTATTAAATTATGCTTAGAGATAACACTGAAATTGGAAATGGCTAAACGCCAGAGGTCGTTTGTTGTAAACAACTCGTTGTGGATCCTGTGTTGCCCACATTGTGTATGGAAAGAAACCCGACAGTACCTGCTATCCCAAATGCCACAAATACAACCAGGGTAATAACACTTTTAAAACCTTTGGGCCTGTTTGTGAACGTGGCTGCTCTCAGTGAAGCAGCTTAACAGTAATAAACTGCACAGAATTTTCTGCTCTAACTGGTCTGTGGTGCAGCTCTCCTGTGTGGACATAACCGCAAACAACATAGGTCGCATAGTTACTGTAACAACCATCTTCCTCCCCCTGCTCTTCGTCCTGTACAGCTACCTGCACATTCTGTTCGTCTGCAGCAGAAGCTCGTCTGAATTCAGAGGAAAGGCGTTACAGACCTACCTGCCTCACATCCTGACATTTGTGAACTACTGTATATCAGTTTTTTGCGAGCTTTCATTGAGTCGTTTTAAAGCTAATGAAGTTAATCCATTTGTCATTGTTGATTTATCTCTGAAGTTTTTGATCATTCCCCCCATTAATAACCCTCTGGTTTACGGCCTGAACCTGCCCAAGATCAGAGGAGTGGTTTTTAGTTTTTTTTAAGATGTGCAAAATAGTTCCTGCATAATAACCAGTCATAAAACTAAGACTATTATTTAGAAGTAAAGCACTTCTGGAGTATGTAGACTTTATCTGCACACATGATTAGTTTGCCATCACATTCTCTTTAAACAAAATAGATCCAGGTGAAAAGAGAAATTACATTCCAAGAGATCAGCCTGTGATAAATATATATATTCTTCTTTCATGTTTTCCTGGCCAGCAGCACATACTGTCTGTAATAACACTCTGGAATGAGAAATAAAACTTGGCTTATTTAAAGCAGTTGAATTTGGGATTTGAATAGGCATAAAGATCAGTGTTTTACTGTTGTAAACCACTTGTCATCTGGGACCAAAATAAAACTGATTCAGGGAATACCAAGTTCATTGCCAGTGAGAGTACCCATACATACTGAATCATAGTAGCCATCATCTTGTCATTATTTAAGCAGCTGTTTGTTCAGTAAAGATTTCTGTGCAAAATCTTGTGCTTAAAGAACTTAAGTTAAGTTTTAATATTTATTCATTTATTAATTTGAAGGCTAAAACTGTCAGATAAATGTAGGCCTAGTGAAGTAAAAGAAAAAGAAAGACATCACAGAGTATAGAGAAGGATTAGTAACAATCCAACTGCCAATTAAATGGTTTTTTTTCTATGCGTTTATTTTACACATTGATTTATTTAGTGCTGCTGCACGTCTTCTATCCAAATAGACAGTTTTCCCTGGGCTGCAGTGCTGAAATACAACACTACAGATATGTGTTTTAATACACTACACAATATAAATTATGAACACAGAAAAAATAAAGGCATTTTAATCTACAAAGCATCACCCAACGCACCTGGCGCCCATACACAGCTGCAAATTAAATTCTGCTTATGACATGAAAAAGTTGTCATTCGGCCAAAATAAGAAACGAGTTGAGATATTTACAAATTTCACAGACTCCAACAGTGAATTTGTGAATGTGACACAGAGGTAACACATTCATGTTGATTTTTCTTTTTTTTTCAGTTAATCATTCAATTTAGTTTTTATAATGACTGTGAAAAAAACGTCTCCTAAAGCTGGAAATTTACATGAGCCAGCTGAAGGCGCGATGCATGTGTATGTGATCAGGACGGTACCGCCTTCACCTCATTCAACACGTTCTTCCTTTTGGCCTAAATATAAACTTTGAATTCTTTTTAAATGAAATTCCAAACGTATGATTCATAGTTATTTTCTATATGATCTGGTCGGCCTGTCATGCAAATCACAACATGGAACATTCTCTCTAGATAAAGTTATCATCAGCAGTAATTATCCGCAGAAGTAATAATCATCATCAACTTCCCCTCTCCTGATTCCACAGATGTCTCTGCTGTAGGTCACTCAGCTCAACGACAGCTTGTTCATGTGCAACAACAACCCCCCACCCCACCCAACCCCACTCAACCCCACCACCTGTTACTGGTATGAGGATGTGCTGTCTTGTGGCATTTCATCGTGTCACTTCAAACATTACTGAAAAGGTCAGACTGCAGAATAAATTGTCGGGTGGTTTAGAGACACAACCCAGCACACCCTTCACACTGAGTAAAAATGTACGTTTAATCTAACGACACCAGTGATCACCTGCGGCACGAGAAAGCAATCTGTATAAGTGGAGGTTCATCAGGTTCATCCCATAAAAAGAAATGACAACAGCCGTTCTTTTGTTGCTTCGGTTGTGTTTTTATCACCGTTTCTACAGGCTGTGTAATATTGTTCAAGAAGCTTTTTACCATGTCTCCACGAGAATGCAATATCTCTGTAACGTCTCAGTACTCACTCTATAGTCTGCTGCATCGGGAGTTTGTAGTGCTGTATTATACCCTTTATAGTGTGGATAGTAGTGTACAACCGATGGTCACCAACCAAAGCAATATATACCATCATGCATTGCGTGTGCGCTGAAAACAGTGTGGAGAAAAGTAAATCACCTGAGTGTCTGAAAGTGTCTTTTCATTTTGCCGATGAGCTAACTTAAGTCCTCTACATTAAACTCCCTGGAGGGAACGAGTGAGTGATTTCAGACACAACCTTGGACTCAATGATGAACTGATTAAATTTGATGGTCAAAGGTCAAAGGTCATGGTCATGGTGACTTCACAAAACACGCTTTAGGCTAAAACTCTCAAATTCATTCACTAATTATGACGCAAATGTCTATAAGGATCAAATAAAGTGTTCTCGCTGTGACATCACAATGTTCTGCAAAAACACTTCTAGTGACATGCGTTCATACAGATACAGATTTGTGAATCTTTGATTTGAATTTTCTTTGAATTAGATTTTTCTTCTTTCCTATTGATCAGATTTGGTCGTGACCCTCCAGATTTATCTGGTGACCCTTCAGAGGGGCCCGACCCACAGGTTGGGAACATCTGGATTAAACTGAGTGTAAATATCAACAGTACTTAAAGATTGATAGTTCTGTTTGCCTTTTTTGTATAATCACATGCTGTAATTATGTGATACTGTCAGAACAATCAAACACCATCATATTATCAGAGTGATTAAACTGAAGGTGTGGCTGCCCCTTATAGATGTTCTCTAACCTTTACATATGTAACATTCCTCAGTGTGTGACAGACTATATAATGAGTGTTTCCACCTGTCACAGTCATCAGCTGCTTCTCTCTGAGTGACAGTCAACACCTGAGCGATAAGGTAAGATTCACCTGCAGCCTGTCTTCAGGGTTCAGGCTCCAGATCTGACTGGATCTTTTTATACAGAGGACATTTTTTATTTTGGGAAGAAAATCTTTGAGTATTTAATAATTAGAAGATTTTAAGTATTAATTTTTTCATTTCATAAGATGCATAGTTCCTGACTAGGACTTTATCAGATATATATCGATAGAAGTCACTGAAACAGAGGCTGTAACTAGCCTGTTATTTTCATTCACTCACAGTAAACTGACTTTCTGTCTCTCCTCAGATGGCTTCTCATTTCCTCCTGTGCCTCTGTTTGGCCAGTGGTCTGCTGGCTGCAGCATCTGTAAGTGAAACTACAGAAATATCTGTTTTTAACACACCACTATATACAGTATATACACATCATTATAGTGAATCAGACTGCTGATGTAAACGTTGGAAAGATTACAGTCTGACTGGATGATGCTTTGTGTTCACAGGGCTGTGGAGAAGAGAAAAACGTAGGTCAGTGGCTTATTGACGGTGTTTTTCTTGTTTGTTCATGTATAAAGGATGATAATGTGTGTCAGTTCATCTCAGGCGTATATAAGCATTTTGCTTCCACCTGAGCCTGTTCAGTCACTACAGTACTTAATATATAGACACGTTAATTTGTTTTTTTACTAGTGTGATGTGTGATGACTGAATAAAAAATACTTCAATCAGTCAGTCAGTAATCAGGGTCAGGACACAATGAAACAACATGGAGCTTTTATTCTGAAATGAAATAAAGGAAGTTTTTCCACCTCCAGGCTCAACATGCTTGTTAAATGTGCTCAAATCAAAAACTACAACTTCTATGTCATAAAGCTACAAGCATGGCAGTGCTGGTGCTAATGTCATCATGACGTGGTTTCGTCCACATCCATAAAACTCACCAACGCTCGCGTCTTGTGTTGTAGCTTCTGGCTGCCCCTCCGGTTGGACTCAGTTTGGCTCTCGCTGCTTCATCTTCTACTGGAATTCAAAGACTTGGTTGGATGCCGAGGTACCGGATGAAACAACAGCACCTCTGTGTTGTCACACTGTGGTTTTGGCTGCTCATAAATGTTGTATTTTTTACAGTTGATGTCACAATTAATGTCTCTAACATTGTGCAGGCCTACGGGTCCATTTCTCAGATTTACTTTGAGTCTTTCTTTCTCACCGTCTCCGTTAGACCTACTGCATATCCATTGGAGGGAATCTGGCCTCCGTCCACAGCGCTGACGAACACTTCTTCCTCAGAAACATGATATACAGAGTGTCAGGCAGATACAGATTGACCTGGATCGGTGGCTTTGACGCTGTAGAGGTGAGACATTGATCGATGCTGCTCGTCTCTTGAGCTGTTACAGCCAATGAAAAGTGACATTTAAAGTGGATTTCAGGATCTATCTCTCTTGGCACTACTTCGCTCACCATACTTGGCTTGTTAGCTTAGCTCACCAACTAGCTGATTAGCCAGCAAATGAACTAGCCTTGGGTTAGCCTTACGCAAGACGCCCAGCTGTGCTAACAATGCTAACGGGAGTGTATGTTTGCCACAAAGTCTCAGCTCCACGCAGACTCCACCTCTCTGCCCCATTTTTGATTTAGCAGGGAGTTAGGGGCGGAGTTAGGCACTGCCAATTTGGCGAAGGCGGAGCAGCCCACTCTTGAGCCTCAAAACAGCTCTTCAGAAACCTGTGGGTGACGTCACAGAGGCTACGTCCATCTTTATTTACAGTCTATAGAACAAATTCTCCAAAGGCCATGCTCGACTATTTGCAACACCCAGAAAAATGTCTTCGTTGTTTTATAGCTGATCCTTTAGTATTTGTTGAGGTTGTCTCCTGGTCATCATTTCTCATCTTTGTCGTCATCTATCTATCTATCTATCAATCACACCCCCATGGAGAACATTGATTTAGAGGGCACTGTCAATTCAGAAAAATAAATAAAACTTCAATTTCTTCTTTGTGGTAATTAAAATTTTCACCATATACAGTAGGTACGAAACAAACACCAAGGATGTGTGTTTGACTTTCTTTCTGACTATAAAAGAATCTTTCTGTTCCAGGACGGAGTCTGGATGTGGAGCGATGGATCCAAGTTCGACTACACTCGCTGGGCTACTAATGAACCCGACGTCTCCAATACCGCACAACACTGCGTTGAGATGAACAGGAACAGTAAGTATAGAACTTTTAAACAGTACACATGATGCACAAACCCCTATAAACCTGTCCATTTTCTTCTGTGATACTTCTACTGTGCAGTTACTTTACAAATGAAGATTTTTACACAAGGAACACACAATAAGATACTCTAACTACATGAAGTACTTTTACTGCGATTCTCTGACTACATGAAATACTTATACTGTGATACTTAGAGTTAAAGTTTTTATCCTTCAGATAAAAAACTGAAGGGAAGCAGTGAACTCAGAACAACACAATGTAAAGATCCTGTTTTGTTGAACTCTCTACAGAAAACTACTGGGGGGACGATAGCTGCACCAGCCGAAATCCCTTTATCTGCTCCAAGAACATCTGAGGCCTCCGCCATGATGACACCACTGCTGCTCTTTCCTCATCTTAACCATTGATTGACTTTCACTTTGATCAGCAGACAGAAGTAGCACTCTGCAGACAGATGATGCTTTCTCAGGCGTTTATTCTTTAATTATTCTTAATACCAACTGTTCATATTAGAGTTTTTAAAATTAGAAGGAAACTGACGCCAGTAGAGAAAGAAGAGAATCAGGTCAGAATCCAGTTTGATGGGTTTCCATGCTTTGTGCACCTGCAGGGTTACATGTGTTAGATTGCATATAATCCACTGATGGTTGTTAGTAAAACTAAAGAGTAGTTACTTTTCTTTTGTCTAAAATTTCAGTTTTCTCTTGAATAAGCTGATTTCCGTCAACTGTTTAAATTTTTTTGATTTTCACTTTGTTAAACTGTATATTTAACCAAGTAATCACAAATAAAAGTCATCCTGTCAAAACGCCTTGTCTTGTCCTGACTGAAAAAGAGCTGAAAGCTTAAGTTTCTCTTTCTGTTAAATTGCACCATCTAGAAAAAACATTATCAAAACGAGATGTAACACCGACTGAAAATGTGACCAAATCAGTTTATTTCAGTTCAAAGGTGAAATCTCCTTGTGAAATAGTAATTTTTATTCTCTAGGTGAAAGAATACATACATCAAAAATAGTCCATATTTTTCTCATGGCAGACAGACAGACAGTGGTATTATATATAAAACACAGTTAAAACCCCTCAGACAGACAGACAGACAGACAGACAGACAGACGGCTGCAGGACCGGCTTCATGTCACCCGTTCAGTCAGCTCAGGAAGCTCGTCACTTTCTTTTATTCACTTTCTGCCTCAGGTTGTGTCGAGGCTTTTCAAAACCTTTTTGTATCATCAGGAGAATTAACTCAACAAGTTCAGTGTGTAACCTCAGTCCTGAGATGACGACATGTCCGAGCCTCGAATACGAATGAATTAATCATCTGAGCCGACGGAGCTGAGAGTGAACTGACCTCAGTCCTGCTGAATCCGGGCGACAACAGAAATGTTTTATACTAGTCTAGTTTACACACCGACGTCCTTAGAAAAACCTTTATGAACCGTTTTAACAGTGCAGTAACGCCACTCTGTCATGACTCAAGATTAATGACGCACAGACACTACTGACCTAAGATCAGTGCTCGCACTGAAACCGCTTCTCATTTATTACCTTTGAATAAACTGAGTCAGGCCCTGAACATTCACTTTTCCTGACAAAGTTGGGAACGTTTTCGCAGATTTCTGTATGTTTTTGTTTTAACTGAGCAAAATTTAAATCAAAATAATTTTCATATTTATGTCAGTTTAACCCTTTGTACGAAGTACGATCAATAACTCTAACAACCCCTGAATGTTTTTTTAAAACATTTTTTTAACTTTGATTTTTATTTCGTCATAAACATTTACTGTTTCACTTCAGTTTTGAAGATTACTATTACTTTTTTGCTTTCATGCAGAGAGTTCGATGAGAAGATCAATTTGCTCATCTCTTAAATGGCTAAATATAGAGCTACACCCAGCAGCCACCTTTATGCTAAGCTAAGCTAATGGGCTGCTGCTTCATATTTACTGTTCAGCGGCATCAATTATTATCAATCCATCAATACTCTCAATGAATATCCCAAAATGTTTAAGGCAACTAACAATTATTCTCCATTATCAAAACAGTCAACTGACTAATCAATTATATGATTGATTGTTTCCCCTCTAACAACACAGCACAAAAAAAGACAAGTCTGTTGAATGCGCACATCCTAAAGTTTTGAGGTCGAAGACACAAACTTTCGACTCAGTGTAAAAAAAGGCAGAAAATAAAAAGACCACAGATATCAGGGTTCAGTGTCTGAGCGTCAGTCCACCAGTCGTATCAGTGCAGCTCCTGCTGATGAAATCAGAGAGCTCGCTAACAAACTGATGATGACAGTGTTGATGTTCAGAAGCAGCAGAGGAGGATCACATCATAAAAGCAGTGGATAAGATGCCAGTGAAAGAAAAGAAATCAACGTATAATGTGCTAACCAGCTGTTCCTGTGGAGCGGTGATTGTTAACTGGATTAATATAGTTTTTAAAATTATCATCAACCTTAAACATTAGTTCATAATGCAGACCCAATATGGGTAAATTCATAGCAAAATTGGGTTTTTTTTCTTCTTCTTTTAATATGTTCACACACACACACACACACTCACACATGCTCAGTCAAACATAAAATAGCAACCTGCTTTCAGACGACGTCGCAGTTCGATCTCAGCAAAAGCTGCCGGTCAGCAAAAATAATACTAAAAAACATTACAAGTCCTCAGACAGTGCAGGGCGGGAAAGTTATAACTGTAACTAACTGACCGTTTATTGAACCCCGCCCACCCTAGTTACTGTTGCTATGGCAGATTCGTCACCTAATTATTCGTAATTTTTATGTCAGACATAAGTATATAGAAGCAGATTTTCATTTCCAGGCAGCGATTTTTCTGAAATGACTTTAAGAAATTTTTATCAGCTTTAGCCAGCTTGCTAATTTAACTAATGTTAGCGTCAAAGACCATTTCGCAAATACCACCATCTTAGATGTTGACAAGCCAGTGATGTAGGTTGTGAGATGCATTGTGGGATAATTAGGGAACATCACGGCAAGATGGTTGAAAACATTTGAAGTTTTAATTCGAGAATCTGGTGAAACTGGTTTTAAATATGCACTTGATGGCCACATGATATCACGCTAACAGACTGAGGCGAAAGCTACATGTCCCTGGTAAAAACTCGTCTTTTAACTTTTATTTAAATCTTTCATTGCAGCGTAGAGCTGGTTAGTGCGACTGTTGTAAGTATGATGAAGTTATGAATAACGTTTTTGGAAAACGTAACACTATCTCTAACATTAGCTGGAATCAAAACTTCCCCAAATCCAATGAAGAGCAGGACAGAGCTGCTGATGTTAGCCTAATGTTAGCCTAATGTTAGCCTAAACTCTGACAACATTCAGGACTGACTTCAACAGAGTAAATGTGTTAGTCATGAACAGCCCCAAAAACGTGTTGTTAGCTAATGATAGGCTAACTCCTGGCCTTGGAAGTAAGACATCAGGTTACTACTGTAGGTAGTAGGCTAGTTAGCCGGACATGCTAACGATTGCAGCTACTGTTTGATCCAGTTCTTAAACCTCTGTGTTTTTGAACTGTTTGAACACACTGAGAAATGGAGAAGAGTTGTTGCTAAGTTATGTTTGGATGTGTGGCTGCGACTATCGATTATTTTTTCAGTTCAATCAATTAATTAAGTCTCTAAGAAACGTTTAAAAAAAAAAATGTCCATCACAACTTTGCAGAGCTGAAAGTTACGTCTTCTGTCTTGTTTTGTTCGACCGTATGTTCAAATACCTAAAAATATCTCGTTTACATATGACAAAGAAAATCAGGAAGTCTTCTCATTGTAGAGGCTGGAGTCAGAGAATATTGATAACTGTCGATTGACTAATTGTTTCAGCTGCTGATTGGACGATCGATGTTCTGGTTTAGTGAACGATTAATTCTCCGAAGCAAATTTTAAACTCATCACTTGCATGGATTTTCCAACCAAACATCATTTTCTGAGCAAAAAAGCATCACGTTGAAATGAGCCGGACCCACTATTGTTACTTATCACTCATCATCACTGTTTTGTACAAAATACCAAAAATCACTGAAAAGACCTCCACCAGCATCCCAGAACAGACCAGCGTCCCCACACATACAAAGGAAGGACAAACAAAAATATATTTTATATATATATTACTGTAACACCGTCCCATATCATAGCAAACTAAACCATCTTTATCCAAAAATAGAGACCTGAAGGCAGCTGCTCAGCCACTCCCATTTTACTTATTGCTCACTGTTCATTCTTCAGTTATCAAATTTAATATTGCTGCATTAATGCTGACGTCTGATATATTATCACATATGGCAAAGAAACACAATGAATCATCCTCAGGTTCAGTTCTATCTGAAGTTATTGCAGGGCACTTTTCATATACGCACTCTGTAAGTCCTGTGGGAGTTCAAGGACACTGTGCATGTTCATTTGCAAAATTCAACTCATTAGCTGATGTCAGTTTTCTCTCTTTTCTTTTTCAGTGTGATTTTTTAAACTGCTGTTTGTTTTCATTATTATTTTTTTTTTGCGCGTACACCCGAGAAGATTAGCAAACACCTCGTAGAAGCTAACAGAGATGCTGACACTGATCTCAGATCAGTTCTCAGAGGTCAGTCTGAGTCCAGGTCCTTGATAAACCCAGGGACGTTCCACTACATGAGGAACACCTCACTGTTCTGTACAGGTTCTTTTAGCGCGGTGCGGTGCATTTCTGGACTCTCAGGGTAAAAAGCTCCTACAGCTCATTCATCATTTTGAGTTTGGACAAAAAAAAAAAAGTGCAATTTTAATATCAAGCTCCACGAGCTCTGGTGCAGATGTAAACCTTGTATCTCCTGATCTGCCTGTTGGAACAAACATGAAAATCAAAGCTTGTCTGTCATCGTTTGTTTGAGCTCCACAAAAACAAAGTGTAAAAACCCCAGTTTGTATTTTACAGGAGGTTGTGAGCTGGGTGATTTTCCAGTTTTCTATAAGACTAATTCAGAACAAACCCTCTGTGTAAACTGTGAACTGTAGTTTTTAAACTTTGGTTTTCTAGAGATAAAATAAACGAGAGCTTTGGAGGACAGACCCGGGACAGCTGTACCCCCCCCCGTTCATGCTAACTTTATGCTGTAGTGTCATGTTTAACTGCCAGGCACAAGAGTAGCATCAGTCTTTTTTCTTTTTCCAACATGATGAACAATTCTTTTAAGTTTAAACTTTACAATATGAATTCTTGATCTATGAGGAGTTCATCTGTGACCAGTGTGACGCAGGCGGAGCTTCTCATTTGGCACAAAACACAACATGACAAAAACAAAAACAAAACAAAAACCTCATTCAAACCTAAACCAGTACCGTTATCTGCCTCTCAACAGTGAATACAGTGAAATTCTCTAAACGACCTTTTACCCTGATTTTTCTCTCCTGGACTTTGTGTCTTTACTAACAGAGCGCCGCTCCTCCCTGTTCCACCTCTAGGCGTCAGTGTTGCCGTTCTCCTCCGGCTGCAGCTGCTCCTTCTCGGTGCAGTCCTCCTGCGGGGGGCGCACTCTCTTAAAGAAACCCAACTGAGGAAGAGGAGGAGAAGAAGAGGAGAGACACTCAAGTGTTTAGTACTGGAGGTAAAGCTGCTGCTGTGCTGACACACCTGTAACCTACCTGATATTTAGCAGCGTCACCCGGTGATTTAGTGACTTACTTATTACTCGTCACATGGAGAATAAATCACCACAGGTCATTTAGCAGGAAGCTGAGCACATAATGAATTAGTGGAAGGTAAAACTGTTTGGTAGTCAGAGTTTAAAATGGTGATTTTCTGTAACTTCTGATTTTCTGCACATTTAAGATTTATCTGTATATACTATACACTATGCACACAAAAGTTTTAGATGTGTTTATATTGTTCTCCATCTGGAGGCGTCTGATTGGTCCCAGATTCAAACACTCAGAGACATAAACCCCTTTTCCACTGGTCAAAAAACCTGCTAAGGCTCGCTAACGTCAGGCTTTTGTTGGCAATGGAAAAGGGAACAAACAGCGTTCACAGCAGGGTCACATGACTCTGCAGTGGATGTAGGTATTTATCGCCTCCAGCTCCGATCAGCAGTAAACACAACACTGTGTCTGAGACGAAAAGATTCTGAGGCCTCTGAGAGGAGCAAGAACCTCCACAACTGCAAACACAAACCTTGTACATGATGAAGATGAGCAGCGCCAGCAGCAGCAGTCCTGCCAGCACAGCCAGAGCCACCACCCAGGCCGGCACCGGCTGAGGAATGTCCACCACCCACAACACCGACACGCTCACCTGAAAACACACACTCACACTTAAACGCTGACACGTTTTACACCAGCAAATACAGAAATTAAAAAGCTTCTGTTTGATGTGCGAGAAAAGAAATTAAAACATTTAGCAAATAGTTTGATTGTGGATGATCTCAAAGCTGCAGCAGAAATAATAATGTTCTCCTTTAATGGGTGGGTGAGTGGGTGGGTGTGTGTGTGTGTGTGAGTGTGTGTGTGTCTTACAGTGGTACTATTGGACGGCAGCTCGAACACCAGGTTCTTGTACGGCATCTCGATGACAGAGAAAGAGGCTGTGGATCGAACCACATACGAACGATTCTGATTCTCAGTCTGAAAAAGAAAAGACAGACGTGAGTCACGTGTCTCCATCACAGACCTCCGCCCACTGAGGGATAACTCGGGTCCAGAGGCGAATGAACAGAGCTGGAAAAGAGGTCTTGAGAGGTGAAACCACTAGAGGTCAGTAAAAACAAGATTTTCAGAAGGTGTGGAGTTTCTCTTTAAACTGACTGTGGCCCAGTTATCTTCTCTGTTAGTGGATCAATCGCTCGTCCAACACAGAGACAGACAGTTCTCACAGTGGAGAACAGAACCGTTTAAATGTTTGTTGTTCAAACGATTATCAATTAGTTTGATTCATTTTCTTTATGTTTTGAGTATTTTTAATACACAGCACAGACAGTTAAACACCATGTTACTTTAAAGTGTTTGGTGTGAAGAAGCTCTTCAAGGTGAGTGATTAATTAAAAAGAAAATATCATCAATGAGACACTGAATGTTTCTTTTACCCTGAGGAAGTTGTTGACAGCCAGTCTGGAGTAGATGAAGAGGATGGCGTTCTTCCTCCTCTCCAGACGACCCACCTGACATTTCAGCTGCAGACACTCTGCTGTGGTGCAGTCCTACACACACACACACACACACACACACACACACACACACACACACACGTTTATGTTCATATAGAATAAATTGGTGTAGTTTTCTTACAATGAGATTTACTCCACAGTCACATCATCAAGTGTGTACAACTTTAACTGTTTCACAATAAATATAAACATGAAACAGGAATGTGTGTGAGTGTGTGTGTGTGTGTGTGTGTACCAGTGTCTGCACGTCGTTCAGTGCGTCTCTTGACTCCAGGTCTCTCTTGCGAACATGGTTTCTGTTTCGTCCCTCAGTCTCTCGCTCTCGGGGTGGGACGACGCTGGTGTTCTTCTGTGAGGTCAACCGGTTCTGACACACACACATACACACACACACACACACACACACCCACACACACACACACCCACACACACACACACCCACACACACACACACCCACACACACACACACCCACACACACACACACCCACACACACACACACCCACACACACACACACCCACACACACACACACCCACACACACACACACCCACACACACACACACCCACACACACACACACCCACACACACACACACCCACACACACACACACCCACACACACACACACCCACACACACACACACCCACACACACACACACCCACACACACACACACCCACACACACACACACCCACACACACACACACCCACACACACACACACCCACACACACACACACCCACACACACACACACCCACACACACACACACCCACACACACACACACCCACACACACACACACTCACATTTTAATATTAATTTGAATAATCTCATCATAAATATTTTACACATAGAAATGTAGATAATTGACCATAAAATGGTTTCAGTTTGATTAACACAGTTAAACTACCGTTACAGTTTTTCTTAACATACTGTGCACTACACTGCATGTGTACAAATGTGTGTGTGTGTGTGTGTGTGTTCCTCACCGTCACATTGAGCGGGTTGAGCAAGGTGTCCGTGGTGCAGTTGATGGGTCCCTCGGTGTCGTAGCTTGTGATGTAGAGCAGAGAGCCGTTCCTGAACTGGTACGGCCAATCCACCGTCAGAGCCGCTTTACTGATCGTACTGGGCCCACTGTTCAGGAGCTGGGAGGGAGGGAGCGCCACAATGATGTCACAATGATGTCACACGGGTTATTTAATGTGTTACTGTAGATAACAAAGTCGCATCACACATGGTGGGGACCGTCTTTCATTGATACAACCTCTAGAATCAGGTGACTCTGCATCTGTGTTAGTTTTAGCTTTAGCTACATGTACAACTGAGTGCGGATGGGAATATATACTGTGTGTGTGTGTGTGTGTGTGTGTGTGTGTGTGTGTGTGTGTGTGTGTGTGTGTGTATGTGTGTGTTTACCTCATAGACATGTACTATTTGTGGTCCGATGTCGTCCCCGTCCACAGGAGGCTCTTTAGGTTTCCAGTTGGCGATGGGAAGCAGCACCTGACCAGGAGACGACGACCTGGGAAGAGAAGACACCAACACACACACACACACACACAACACACACACACACACACACACACACACACACACATTTTAATATTAATTTGAATAATCTCATCATAAATATTTTACACATAGAAATGTGTGTGTGTGTGTGTGTGTGTGTGTGTGTGTGTGTGTGTTTACCCTCTAATGGAGACCTTAGCGAGCACAGCCAGCTTGGTGATGCTGGAGACTCGGGGGCTGGTGTTGTCGAATTGGTTGGAGCTGAGACACAGAGGAAACACAGACTTCATGTAAACGTGTGATAAAACACTGACACACATTTAAATAAAAACGTGAACAACAACAGATGCAGGGACAGACTTTAAACACAGTGCTGTTATACTAGAAGCAGCCACAGGGTGGTGCTGCTGCCTTTGACCTGACGGAGGAAAAACGATCCTCAGCTCATTTACATTTAGAGTTAGTTCATTATATCTTCACAGTTTCACATTTGTCAGAATAGACACAATATTTTACACAAATGTTTATCTTAAATATATAAGTATATTTTAAATACATTGTTCTCATTATTAAGTCATATTATGTTTGTTTAGAAAGAGCTTTTGTCCTGAGAGTCTTAAAATAACAACCCTGAACCACAGGAGGAGAAGGTTGAGATGTTCGGACGAGGATATATCCTCTAATCAGCAGCTATTTTTGAAGCCAATTAATCTCTGACACCATTTGTCAAGCAAAAAAAGAAAAAAAAGTTTCTCAGATGTGAGAATTTGCTCTGACCAGTTTTATGACAGTAAATTGAACATATTTTGGGTTCTCAAAACAACATGTGAAAATGTCACCAAGGACTTTAAGAAACTCTAACTGATGGTTTTTTCAAGCATTTTTTAAAATTTTATGGCAAAAACAACTAATTTATCAAGACAATAACTATCAGATGAATCAATAATGACAATAATAGTCACTTGTGAGTGCATCTCTTCCACACAGCAAATCTGTCCTTCAGTAACAGTGTGTGTCAGAGAGCTGAGGAGGACTGAGCGGTCAGACTGAGACCTATCATTAACATACCTCTCTCTCTCTTTCTTTCTCTCTCTCTCACACACGCGCGCACACACACACACACACATGCACGCACGTACAGACACACGCACGTACACACGCACGCACACACGCACAGACTCAGAGGAATGTGAAGACTGAGTGTGTCTGAGCTCTCAGGGTGTTTACCATTCAAATGAGCTGTGGGACAAAAGCTGCTCTGCTCTGATGAATGCTGATGTGACGACTGTTTACAGGCTGTTCACACATGAACACAGCTTCTCCAGCATCAAGCACGTTTAGCTGACAGTTTGTCAGATTACGTCCACATGACGTTTTCATTTTAAAACGCTGTTTTCAAACAAAAACAATCTCCATCCAGACCAACACACCTTTAAAACGCACGGTATTGCGCAGGTATGTACCTGAGCAATCACGTACACTGAGCATGTGTGAGCCAGTGTAAACAAGAAGTAGATTGTCATCTCTGCAGTTGATTAATTGCAAAAAATAACAAGGAACAGCAAAGACAGCTGCAGTGTTAAGAATATAAGTCCTCAACAGCTGCTAGCAAAAACAACGATGTCAGTAAAGCTTGTATTTCATTATCCATGTCGCTTTCACCCCTGGAAGTCGAGGCAGATAAGCTCCAGATAAGACAATGTTTCTGAAGTCTCTGTTCAGTGGAGAGGAGGGGAAAACACAGCAAAAGAGATGTGGTTTAAAATGAAAACGTAGTAGTGTGGACGTAGCCTCAGTGCTATCATTTCTGTTTTCTTGCTTCTGTGTGGAGTAACCATGTTGTACGTTTTGGAATTAAGAGTTCCCATGACTCTTTGGGGAACACAAGCAGGTATAAGTATGTTTTGGCTTATGTTTCCTCACATTTAGTCAAACTTTAGTCTCATTACCAGCAGCTGAATCAGCTGTGATCAGCTGGTGTTTGCAGTGTATCATGGATGTACTGACACTGGATCACTGTGATACTGAGGAAAACTTAAAAACATGAGGATTGTGAATGAAGTTCTGCAGCTGTAAAGAGCATCTTTTTTTCTATGATTTCCAAGGAGATTTCTCTTGGATGGACATCGGCGATAACGAAGTGGAAGTCAGATTGGATCAGACTGGAAGTTTTAGGTGTGTGTGTTCAGATTTGACTCAGAGGAGGAGGAGTGGTGAGTGGTGCTCTGTGCGGGACAAAGACTGGACTGCACCTGACGATCTGCAGGTCAAACTTGACAAACGTGTCCTCCTCCGACAGCTGGTGCACGCTGAACTTCAGCTCTGCCAGCACCTGGCCAATCACAGCATGGGAAGAGGCAGCAAAGGACCAATCAGAGAGCAGGAGGAGAGAGGAAAAACATCATTATGTGGAGGAGCTGTCACAAACATTCAGTCCTGCAGGAAACACTGCAGATGCAAAGTCACAAAACTCCCTCAATAAACATCTTGTTTATATTTTCTGACTGTGTCGACAGCACTTTATTAATTCAATGCCAGTAAATGTGACATTAACAGTAACACATTCAAGTTCTCCTTCATTTCAAGGCAAAGTAATCTCCACAATCCAAAGCTGCTCCTGTCATTTCCTTTGTTTCCTCATGTTTCCCCCTGATATCTGACTTCCTAGTTAAATCTGCTCCACCATCCCCCACAAACGTGTCACAGTAGCACCAAAAGAAAAAACGCCCAGAATGCAACATGATCACACGCCCACTGGTTCAGTTATCTGTCCACTGACCTTGGTTCCTCCCTTCATGGGGTTTCCCAGGTCACACACCACCATCTTGGTCTGGTTTTCCTTCTTGTACGCACAGGACAGCCTGGTGAAGACCTGTAGAAACCACAAAGTAACATCTCAGTTGTATCTCCCGCTGACGACAGAAACTGAAACGGGTTTGTCAGAGATCCAGAGATTTCCTGGGAACAGTTTGTGTATCAGAGTGTGTGAGCCTGTGAACCGAAACCGAGGAACCTTCTTCACTAATTACTTCCACGTAACTGTCGTAGTTTTGTTCCAGTCATAGAGGGGGAGTCCTGAGCTCCATTAGGGATATTTTGAATCATCTAATATCTGAGAACTTCGGGTTCTTGGGTTAAATTTAGGTGCCAAAGACAGTATTGTGTTGTGTGTGTGTGTGTGCAGAAGCTCTGGTATTAAAACCTGATTTCCAGCTCTGGGTGACGGAGACGAACCTGAGTGCGGACGACCTCGATGAAGTCGGCCTGCGGCGGAGGGTAGATGTGGAGCTCGGCCTCGTAGGCGCCCTCTCCCTGGTTCTCAGCGCTGACCTCCAGGGTCAGAGCGTTGTCATCGCCGATGTAGATCTGCTCACGGTCACTGCGGCAACGAAAACAATCACTATGGCAACATGTCCTAAATCAAGCTTTTTTTTAATTATTGCAGCTTCATTTTTGTTTCTTTTTTTTTTTTTTAATGAAAAATAGAAAAAAATATGAAGCAAAGAGATTGTTTTCATTTTAATCACAGTGTCAGTGTCTCACCTCTTCACTGACAACTTCAGGTCAGGTTTACAGATGTTGTCCTCTCCACAGTCCAACAGGATGTGAGCCTGAGGGAAGGAAAGAAGGAAGGAAGGAAGGAAAGAAAGAAAAAGGACAAAAGGAACAAAGGCGTCACAGACAAAGACAGAGGATCAGTTGCTGAATACTGAACGTTCGGAGAGTAAAGACACTAATCAGTCTTTACAACACACACACACACACACACACACACACACACACACACACACACACACACACAAACGTTACCTGCTTGGTGACGTTGGAGGGGGCCGACATGTCGAGGATGGGCAGCAGTCCAGTTCTGTCTGCGGCCTGCTGGTAGTCCAGACTGTACTCCATCACCACGGAGATGGGAGTGATCTTATCCCGAAACTCGTCCTGAGAGAGAGAGAGAGAGAGAGAGAGAGAGAGAGAGAGAGAGAGAGAGAGAGAGAGAGAGAGATGTCAGCTCAGCTCTGTGGAGCTACTGCTGCTTCATATTTAGCAGCAACGCATCAGTGCCGTTCAGTCCAGTTCATTTTGTCGACAGTCTCGGTTTCATTCGTCGGCACTCTGAGCTCGCCTCGTTTGCGTTTCCTCACCCGCAGGAAGACGTGCTGCTCCTCGCAGGCCGGGCTTCTGCCGTTGGACACCGTCATGTTCTTGGAGTACTGGAAGGTCCGACTGTGCAGGAAGAGGACGCGCTTGGTCGCCTCCTTCTGCTTCAGCCGGTCCAACATGATGTCCACGCGAAAATCTGGAGGCAGAGAAGAATACGAGGGACGGTTATGGATCTGACAGAGGAGATGAGATAATGACGTGGCCTTCAAGCTGCAGAACCACAACCTGATAATCAACACACACACACACACCAGAGCGTCTGTGGTTGTGCTGCAGAGAGG